CATGTAACATTCAGGAATCACAGGAATATAACGAAATTGCCACGATCTATGCTGAAACCCGGGGGCTGTGTAGAATCAGGGGGCTTGTGAAATCTGTTGGGTTTCATCGAAACCAAACCGCTCATCAGGGGCGGTGGCTGGGCCAAGATATCCCAACATTGATTGCCATGAAATAACAAATATGTATATATATATATTGGTTCAATGGTTGAGGTTTCCAGGGTCGAGATTTAGAATGTTATTGAATAAATATTTGTATTTCCAAATGGAGGTAATTTATATCTTGGCCCGAATACGATACCCCATCTCATATGTCCAGAAACCCATTTATTTTTCACAAGCCCCGAAATTGACATGAACCTATGAATGGATTTGAACCAACATAAGCACTGAACACACATCATACAGCCGCGCAAGACCTACAAATTACAATATCAATACAATCCCCCAAAAATAACATGTAATAAATAATAAAATCATACATCATATTATTTCATCATATCAAAAAATTATATATCATAAATTTTAGACCATAAATTACAAATTATATCAAAAATTGCTTTTTTTATTATATAATCATAATTATAATAATTATAATTATCTATAATCTTTAAAATTCTATTCTATATTAAATATTGATATGATTAATTTATTTGTTATATAATTATGATATAATATTATATGAAATAATAAGAAATAATATTATATAATTTATAATATGATATATGACCCTGATATGGCATAAAATATATAATATAATACGATATATTAAATATTATTTATCATACCTCAACCGACAGAAATAAATTGGCTTTATAAAATGTAGTCCAAATAATAATATACTATAATATAATAATATATAATAATAATATATTTATATATTTTCCATTATTTTCAATAATTATATTATTTATTTAATATAATATTTAAATATTATTTAACAAATTATATAATAAATAATATCCAAATCAAATTTACAAAATATTTAATAATATAATTTCTCAAAAAATTAATATAATTTCTATATAATATCAATTAATATCATTATAAGAATTTCCAAAATTTATATATATATATTATTTAATAAAGAAAAATATTAGTGACCTAGGATATATATATATATTAATTTCATATTTTCCCTATTTTGTATTAAATATAAAAAAAATATAAAAATCCCAAAATTAATAATTTCAAATCAAATTATATTATATATTATATATTTTATATTATATATTATATATTATATATTATATATTATATATTATATATTATATATTTTATATTATATATTATATATTATATAATATATTATATATTATATATTATATAATATTTAATATTTAATATATATTAAGTATTATATATTATATATTATATATTATATATAATAAAATATATATTATATATTATATATTATATAGTATATATTATATATTATATATTATATATTAAATATTATATATTAAATATTATATATTTTATATTATATATTGATAATATATATTATATATTGATAATATAAAATATTTATTATATATTATATATGATATATGATATATGATATATGATAAATGATATATGATATATGATATATAATATATGATATATTATATATTATATATTATATATTAGATATTTTATATTATATATTATATATTATATAGTATATAGTATATATAATATATTATATATTATATTTAATATATTATATATTATATAGTATTTATTATATATTATATATTATATATTATATATTATAAATATTATTATATTAAAATTATCAAATTTAAAGAAATATAAAATATATTTTTTTAAAACAAAAATATAATATATTTATTTTAATTTTATAAAATATCAAAATATCTAGAAAAATAATAATAATATATGTTATTATTATTATATAATTTTATATTTGAAAATAATAATATATAATCTTATAAATATTATGTTTGTTTAAAAAAATAAAGTGGGACGTTGTGAAGGTCCGTATTTTTCAATATATTTCTTTGATTTTTCATATATTTTGTATTTTTTATTATTTATTGCATATCTTTAGTATAATATTTATTAAATTTATAGGATTTATCAATGGGATTACCCGGGGATACAGCTAAATTCAAAATGTCATCTGATATTTCATATATATATATATTAAAATATAAATATTACCTAGGTATATAATAATTGCAAAGATAATATATATATAATATTTGGTATTTATATTAATGATTTTTGTTATTGGATTGTTAGGTCGTTTTTTGGTTAAGACGATAATTCCAATGGATTTTTTTTAGCAAAGGAAAATATAAATTCCAATCTACTCTCAAATAATCATAATATTGTTTTGGCATATTTCATACTAATTTATTGTATCGATACATAAAATAAGGCTATTATTTTATAGATATAATTGTTTGGTAAAATTATATAAGTGTTTTTTATTTAATTATATGTTTTTTAAAATATTATAATAAATTTATATTAGCA